AAGTGAGTTAGATGTCTTCACCAGGCTCTCACCTAATTGTCAAATTTATTTTCGGTTCCAGCCCTATGTGTCAGTGTGCTTTGCTCCCAGCTTGGTGCTGTCTCAGATACAGGCACACTCTTTATCTTGCAGCTCACTAATGCACAGGTATGTGTGCACATGGGACAGCTGCCAAGCTGTATAGCCCAAATTCATAGTGCTCTGTGGGAGCAGAGACATGTAGGGATGCATGATTTCAGTATCAAGGCCACAGTTTTTGCCATATGAATTATTTAAACTAGGAGCAGAGTCTCCCACACTGTTCCATGTAACAGCTGTAAAAAGTGGTGTAAAAGGCTGATCTGGAGCTTGAATTCTAATTTCAGCATGCTGAGTGTCTTGTCCTGATACTTTGAAATAAAACCCCTTAAACCAAAGCCATTGACTTACTGTATATGTGCTTGTATGTAAATTCTAAGCCAAACCTGAGCCTCTTGACAGCCCCTAAGAAAAGGCTTTTCAATATGCTGGCCTGAAACAGGTGGTTTACATTACTTTGCAGCCAAGTCTTCCTAGGTAACTTGGATACAAGCATGTTGAAATGAAAAAGGCAGATGAAGAATGAGTAAGAAGTCAGTTGGGGACAGGGGAAAATTTCATTAAAGGGTTGATAAATGAAGCAGTGTGGCTCTTCTGAGTGTTTATGCACTCACATTTTTGGTTGTGGTGAGTGAAGACAGGAGGGTAATGTGTATCAAACCCTGAACCCTGCAAGTTCAGCAACCTCACAGAGTAATCAGTGAGGCAATTTCAGGCAGTTCAGCCTGAAAAACTTCATGACTACTGAAATCCCATTTTCACTCACCAGGAGGATGATGTATGTGCCTCCTCTCCACGCTGAACAGCAGCACTGACTGCTCCCATGCCCTTTCCCTACCATCACTGCCAGCAGAACTCCACAGACACGAACTCCTGCAGTTAGAAAAGGTGCACAGACTGCATCACCAGAGCCCCTCTCTCCTGGGTGGGTTTGCTGAGTTCCCATGAGAGGTTCTGGGCTGACTTAGCACAGCCTGTGCTGGTGGATGAGCATGTTTCTGAGGCAGTACAAGTCCCCACCTCACTTCATTTAGGCTGGGACTGTATTATCTCCTCTGTTCACTGGTGTGCAAGGCCAGTGTCCTTGCAGCTCTGGTCAGAATGCTCAAGAAAAATATAAGCAAGTAATTCTACTTGCAGAGAAGTGATGCTGGACTCTTCAGTTAGACAGAAAAGGCTGTCTAAAGAGAAGAAAGACAAAAATCCAGAAAGGATAATTTCTTACAAATTGACTAAGAGAATAAATTCTCTTAGGACTGGGCATTTCAGAAGTTGTGAGATAGAAGTGGAAGACAGGCAGAGAGAATAGACTGACAATAAATAAATTGAGGCTGAAAATGGGAACGTTTCTGAGCACAGAGAGAAGAGCTGAGAGGATAAAGGTGATGGTGGGAACTGTCTGTGTCAGTGTGGCACTTGTGCAGCGGAAGAGGAATGGCCTTGCAGTACAACTTCTTGTGATCCCTCCTGTAACAGACTGAGCACGAACATCCAAATGAAAGATCAGCTTTATTTGTTGTGTGAAGTCAGAGCTTACAAAAACATTTGTATTTATTAGAGATGATGGGTCACAGTGAGAACCAAGCATGGCTTTGGTCTATGTTCAGCATCTTTTCTGCTTGACATTCCTAATGTCACTCCTTAAGCAAGCCTTAGTCTCTGCTCATTGCATGTCTAAAAGCAGCTGGTTGCCTGATTCCTTTTAACTTATGTTAGTAAGTCTTGTTTGGTGAGAAGGCAGTTGAGGGTGGGCAGCCTTGGCTGTGAGTGACATCTCCTGGCATGCAGAGGTGCTGTTGATTTAGTGCAGTTTGGCCACAGGGGCCATTTCCTATTTGTCTTGAGCTCTGGAGGACACAAGAGTCAAATCTGTTCCTTGCCTTCACACAGAGCTGCCTCCCACGCTGGTGTGGTCCTTCCTGGTTATTCACTAAGAGCAACAAGGTTTCCACAGCAAAATTGCTGCCACCTGGAGCGACTGACAACATCCTCCCAGTTCTCTGTCTTGGAGGCAGAAAGGATGTTAGATCTGTTCATGTTTTGGGGCCATCACTGGATGGAACCAGTGGATAGAAAAAGCAAAGAGACCAAAATTGGAAACAGACAGAGATGCCTGAGCAGCTGGGCTGTGCTCCAGCATCTGGAGAGTGCTCAGTGCCCGTGCAGCCGGGCAGGGCTCCAGCATCAAGCAGCTCTGAGCTCTGAGAGGAGAAAATCAGCATCATTTCTATGCCTGCTTATGGCCCCACGGGATGTTTTAGTCACTGCACACAGTGGGCAGTGTGAGAGAAAGAGTAGAGATCTGTCTGCTTGGATTCTGACTGGGCACAGGCACTGAAGATCGTGTCTGCTTAATCTTTAGCTGAGGAAAACTGCTAGGGGAAGGAAAACCCTGGGGCCTGGCAATCAGTCAAGTACTGCTCCACTTGGTGGACACTGGGGAGTGTTTGCATGGCACTCAGGAGTGAGAATGTGACACTCTCAGGAGCTGGAGGCAGCTGAAATAGCTTAATTGTTTAGCCCCTGCAGAACCTGCAATTACACCTAGAGCTGATGGAAGTAACCAAGTGCACAAAAAAGGGAACTAATTTAAATACCTCACCTTTCTGAACAGCAAGTGAATTTTAACTACACTGAATTCTTTAGATAGATTTGCAGTGTTGGTTTTGGTTTGGATTTTTAAAAATAAGTTTGTCTTCTTTAAACAAGTCTGTCAAGTATTCAAGTCTGTGTACTTTGAGCGCTCTTTGGAAGGTTATTACTTTGTTACATTACATTCTGGATTATGCTTATCACCTTGTACCTTTTCTTGTATAAAACATTTCAATAAAATTCTTCTTGGTAGCATAAGAGTTCACAGAGATGGATGGTGTGGTATGGGATACAGCAATGAAGTCACTATCTACGAACCCCAGAGTCCTGAAAATTGCTCATGATGCTGAACTAAAATTCAGGCAAAAGTCATATTCAGGATTAATAAAATAATGTGCCTTGGAAAAAAAAATTACTGATCTCAGGCCACAGGTGGGATGCAGACAATTATCATTATGTCTCTGCCTTCAGACAAGGGATTTCTAGTTCATAATTGGGATGGTCCATTACAGTGAGAACAATGCTCCTGCTTTGCTGCCAATGCTGGCACTTTCAGAATGTGGCTGCTGAAAAGATACAGCAGTTTGACAATACCCATAACAACAGGAAATCTCAAAATCTTAGAACTTGTGCAAAGTCACATATCCTTCATACCTATGACTGCAAATACCTAACAAATTTATTCATGGATGTGCTGTGCAACTGTCAGCAGCAGATTCAGTTTTCAGGCATGCTAACTTCATATCTATACTGTGCAGCTAATTTTAATTATAGCATCTGCTTTAATTCGTTTTTCTAGGGTTAAAATAATTTTTGTTCACCAGACATGCTCAGTGCTACCAAAACCTGAGCCAACTACTCTCTCCAATGAGAAGGAAGGTCTCCCAGCTGTCATGCTCTGCTGTTTCTAATCACTTCAAGCCCTGAGTTCTGGGCGTTTTTGAATACAGTTGGATAAAATACATTCTTACTTCCTACTGTCTGGTATGTGCACTAGGTTATTTTTTTAAGCTGCATTCTTGAAGATATTGGCAAGCATGCTGGCCCTCCAATAGGCACTCACAAAGTGCAAGAGTTACAAGCTTCCAGATTTCACAGTTAACCTCAGCAGATTTACACAGAGAGAGCACAGAGCTCCAGGTTAGTGTTACATTTCCAATGGGCCTGTCTGGGGCATCTTCAAAGTGAGCTCCACTGGCACTTTTAGGTTCCATTTTCTCTAAGGTAAGAAGCTGTTATTTGTCTATAGTTAGAAATTTCTAGAGGTTTGTTGCTTCTTTTCACTTTGGCTAACTTATGAGAATAACTTGAGGATTTAGGGTCATTTGTAAGGTCAGGTAACACTGTATAGTTCTGGAACCTGAGATTGCCTCTCAGAGCAGTTAGAAGCTGACCCAGTTCAGAACTTGAATGCTTTTCATATTTGTATGCATGATATGAAGGGCCAGGATGGATTTGGCACATTATCCTTGGTCTGGAGGTCTGGAGACCTCTGGAACACAAATTCTGGTGCAGAGCAGGTTCTCTCAGAGCATGATAATAGCTGATGTGGTTGCACTGAGGTATTGCCATCCTGAATGACTGTAATGTACTTCTAAACATCTCCTGGAGTATTTGAGTAAAAGGAGAAGAGAAATTTCCCATGAGAGTCAGATGATCAGTGCTTTGAGCATGGAGCATCGCTGTTGGTGGAAATTGATTTCAAGTCATGTGCTCAGGAGAGCACATATGTCCCCTGGAGTTACTTGTTTGTTTTAAATGTTGACTTTACATCAAAGTTATAAATCTGGAAATTATGCTGATACCCTTTCTAGAGTTCCATGTAGGAAGATGGTATTTTATTAAACAGTTGCAAAATTGGCCAGGTCTAAGTTGTGAAATGAGGTTTTGACTGTGGGATGCATGAGGGACTATCCAAAGCAGAAAAATGTGAAAAACAGCATTATGCTAGCCAACAACAAATGCAACTATATGTATATTGGTTCTGAAAGCTCAGATGACATATTGGTTGTGAATGATTTTCATCAGCCATAAGTGGCCTTTTTTACAGAATTCTATTGCTAACCATGTATAGTAAACCACAAAAATCTTAACTTGTTCGACAGGTTATCCCAAATATGCCTGTAACATATAAGGAATTAGAGTGGTACAAGTTCTGCAAAGTGTGTGATTTATCATACTGTGCCAATTCTACACAGGCCATTCATAACCTGGTGGGCAAAGGAGAAATTCACAGGGAAAAAGGACTACAGGAACCTGCCAAAAGACATGCCTCTGGGGTGTGAGGAAAGATGGGCTACTGGGATACTAACATCCTTCTTCTGGTCTAGTCACAGGTACCAAACCAAAGATGTCCTCAACAAGAACGATTCTACTCATCCTGGGATTCCTCTCCACTTTGGCTGTAATTGCTTTAATTGCTGTAGCAGTGACCCAAAACCAGCCACTTCCGAAGAATATTAAGGTATTACAAGCTGGTACCCTTAGAGGAAAACAGGATGGGGGGTTAGGTGTCCATAGTGCTCACAGACATGTTGCTGCCCTTGCTGGCTCTGGCTAACCTCTTTTTCTGGCTCCATGCTCCTCAACATCTTCTTTTACATCTTTGTGGTAAAACCAGTCACAGCTTCACAGGGAAGCATCTCTTAAATCACCAGTCCCGGCTTCGCGGTTTCTCTGCTCCTGTTTCCTTTGCCGGGAGCTTTGCACTGAAGCTCTGCAGAGAGGAGCAAGGGCACACACAGTCCCACAGCTGCCACGCAGAGGGGCTGTGTGTGCCTGTGCCCCAGGGGAGGCCAGCACGGTGCCCAGGTGTGACGTGGGCTCTGCTCTGCCCGCAGTATGGGATCGTGCTGGATGCGGGATCGTCCCACACCAACCTCTACGTGTACGAGTGGCCAGCAGAGAAGGAGAACGACACCGGCGTGGTGAGGCAGGTGGAGGTGTGTAAAGTTGAAGGTAAGAGGAGAAAAAGGAGCTGGGGAAGGGGCGTGGGATGAAGAAGAGATGATGCAATAAAAGGGTGAGGGAGGAGAAATCTAGAGGAAGAGGCCAATAGTAGAAACAGCATTACAGCTGCGAGATAATGCATCTCACTGGTTCCCATGGGGACCTGTTTGTGCCTGACCTTCCTGGGGGAAAAAATGCATCCACTTTTTCCTTTGTTTTCAGGATGCTTGGAATTAATTGCTTTTTGGAAAGAACTACACCAAAGAATGTACTTAAATAAATAAAATGTCTGCATGCACTCTTGCTAAAGTGCTGATGAAAGCAATGAGAGGGGAGAGCATGGTTTGCTCTTTTTCAAGGCTTCTGTGCAAGCTTGTGGCTTCTGCACAGGGCTTGTGGCTCAAGATTTCTCAACTTATGCATGTCATGGTGCTTTTTAAATTCTATTTAATTGCTGTGTAGATACTGCATGGTTTAGGAAGGCATAAATGAAGCTCAGGGTGCATACAACAAGGAACAGCACAGACCAACATGGATCACTGCATTCTGAGATGTTGTCAGACCTGCCTGGGATCTTTTCAGGCCTCTGCAGTGCAGGAGAGAGCCCTACTGTTATCAAGCTGCTGTGATAGCTCTCAGTGCTGCAGCACCCCACGTCACGAGCAGCACACCGAGCACACAGCAAGCTGGAGCAAACGGGGCTTCACTGCTGCCATGCAGGCACTGGTCCTGGGGCAGTCCAGGGAACCAGGGGACACATGGCAGAGAGGGACAGCAATTTTTTCCTTGGGTTAGCATGAGACACAATAGCTGCAGAACACCCAGTGTTGTAGTGTGAGCAGAAAGTACACAAACAAATGACAGCATCTGCCCCCAGAGGAGCCAGCATGGAAGGGTCAGGGATATTCAGGCACAGATCCAGGGTACACCCAGGCAGACTCAGAGAAGAGACTGCAGATGTTCAGGGCATGCTAAAGAAATGGCTTGTCTCAGCCCTCATTGCTAGTTCATAGCCTGCTTTGCAGAGAAAAGGTTGGAGATGCTGGGCACTGTGACCACCCACTACATGCATTGGGCTTAGCTGGTGCTGTAGGACTGCTAAAGCTCCTCAGGAATGGGGTGGTTGAATCCAGTTCTGCTGCCTGTGATACAGTTTGACACATCCACTCATGACAGCATTCTGGGGTTATGCTTGGAGTCTGAACTATAAACTATAAACTTCTTACAGGCCCTGGGATCTCAGGTTACTCCCATGCCACAGAGAAAGCAGGCCCCTCTCTGGCACAGTGCCTACAACAAGCAGAAGACGTGATTCCCTCAGCACAGCACAAAGAGACACCCGTCTACCTCGGAGCAACTGCTGGCATGCGGCTTCTCAGGTACTGCAGGGCTTGTCCCTTCTCCTGCAGCACGGCACTGGCACCACCGTGGATGAGCAGTGGGGGACAGTCCTTGGACACACTGCCAGCTCACACTGTGCCCAGACAGCCTCCTCTGCTGCTGCCCTCTCTGAGCCCTGAGTCCCCTGGACTTCTCCATTGCTTCCCCACTCACTCCAACCCTCCATCATCTCCTGTATCCACATGCAGCACAGAGACACCAGGAGATCAGCAGTGCCCAAGCTGATGCCCTGCCATCCCCATAATAAAGGGATGCTCAAACATCCCCACAGTCTGGTATTAGGCCCAGATTTTTTGAGCTCAAATATGTTGCAACTCTCCACAGAGGGCCATCAGACGCTAAGGTAATTTTATAATCACAACCTCCTTTAATTACAATTTGTGATTTTCAGGAGGGTGACCCAGACCTCTCCTGGCTAGGACAGGGAACTGACCTTTGGTATATATTGCCTGGGGTTGTGTTCTGGATTTCTTCTCTAATGAAACAGTAAAGAGGTGACGGTAAAGAGGAGTCTCCACAGTGCAATTCCTATTAGAATACATGCTACAGAACAGGAGTTCTGGTCTCTGCTCCAGGTACCTACCATTCCACTGCAGGGTCTGTAAGTGTCAGAGCTGGTGGCAGCTGTGCTGTCAAGGTGTGACAGAGAGGACCATGGCCAGTCAGAGCTGGATGAGCCACACAAATGACCGACCTCTGATCATTGACCCTTGGTGGGGAGCTGCAGCCTGCCTGCTCAGAATAAAGCACATAGAGAGCTGTCAGCCAGAGTTACTCCATCTTTTCTTCTGTTCATCCAGGTTGCAGAATAAAAGTGCAGCAGAAAACGTCTTGTCCTCAGTAGGAAACACACTACGCTCAGCTCCCTTCAACTTCCAGGGTGCCAGAATCATCACTGGTCAGGAAGAAGGAGCCTATGGATGGATTACCATTAACTACCTTCTGGGCAATTTCAAGCAGGTAGTGTATCCATAGCAAGACATTTGAATGATTGGTTTGCAGCACTTTGCAAGTCCTGCCTTGCAAGAAGGTGTCACAGGCACTCTCTTCCCTTGTAAACCAGGGATCAGCACATCTTGCCTCAGCAGTTGCTGTGAGTACATCCTGATACTTAGTGGGATCAGGATGCACCACTATAATTAGGCTTCAAGCACTGAAATAAAACACCAGCATCTTCAATAATTTTGCTTGGGTACTGTATCCTCTTCATTTCCTGATCTAAAATATTTCTGTTTCTGAAAAGTTTGACTATGGTTCTTTCCTGTTGAGCTTAAAAATCTTCTGAGAGCTGAAACAGTAAGTGGACTGTTTTTTCTCATAACAATAGTATTAGATTTCATATTCTTTGCCCTCCTGCAAACTCTTGGACATGATCCATCTTCTGTATTTACAAGCTTGCATTTTTCTTATATGTTACCGTTCCAGCTCTCATCTCATGCCCCCTCCAGGACTTCCCATGTTTCCTGTGTTCTGTGCTTCTGCTTCTCTCCTTATAGTTCTTTCTCTTTTTTATTTCTCCAAAATAAATCTTCTCCATGTTCAATATATCTGGTTTACTTTGATTTTTTTTCCCCAAGTCTGGCTGGAAAAAGCTTCTACACTCCCTGAAATCCTTAAGTGAGACATCAGGAGCACTGGACCTAGGAGGAGCCTCCACACAGATTACCTTTGTATCAAAGGACCTCACTTCTGAGTCCCCAGAGAACCAGCTCTACTTCCGTCTCTACGGCAAGGATTACCAAGTGTACACCCACAGCTTTCTCTGCTATGGGAAGGACCAGGCTCTGCAGCAGAAACTGGCCAGGGATCTACAGGCAAGTACATCTACATCTGTAACTGAACAATCCTGGACTCTCCCAGCTTTGGGATACTGGTGCTGTAAAAGTTGCTGTGTTCTAGCTCACCTCTTGGTCTGGATTAGAGAAATGTCATTGTTCTTCACACAAACTACCAATTTGAGATGCCTTGATTCTTGGGCATGGGGTAGCAAGAGAGCTGCATTTAACCGAAGTACTCAGGGGAGATGACATTTTACCATCTCTGAGAAACCCAAATCAACAGCACAGCTTCACAAACTGTGACTTAAAATAATTTTCCCAGGTCCTACAGGGAGGCTGTGTCAGTACCCACATCTTGCCCTATACAGCCAGTGCCCTAATCCATCCTTATCCCTTTGATCTGATGTGATGTACTGGGACAAGTGCCACCCTTCCTTGTGGCTCTTTCCCAGGGTGTTATTCTAGAGCAAAATGTAACAATTTGGATTGATTTTTACTTTCAGACCGTGGAGAACAGCAGTCTACCCGACCCATGCTTTCACAAGGGTTACGAGAGGACTATAAATATTAGTGACTTCTTCAAAAACCCTTGCACATCAGACAAGAAAAAGCAATTACCTTTCAGCCAGCTGTACATAAAGGGAGAGGGGGACTATCAGAAGTGCCGGGAAAGCATCCAGAAACTCTTCAACAAAAGCAATTGTCCTTACTCCAGTTGCTCCTTCAATGGGATATACCTACCTCCATTACAAGGGGATTTTGGGGTGAGTCTTCACTCATTCTTCAACTATCTGTGATCCAGAATGTCAGAAGAGCAGAAATTCAGAGTAATGCTAGAGCACATTCTTCATGAGTGAGGCAGGAAATCATTTACAAGATGGCTTTTTGGACGTGTAACTACAAAAGCAGTGCTGCACTTGCTGTGAGGACAGACATGCTAAGAGCCACCCCAGTAAATACTGGCTACCAGCACTGCACTGCTCCCACTGTAACCCATCTCCTTGGGCTGTTGTCTTTACTCACTTTTTAAGCTGTCCAGCACCAGAGGCAGGAGAGCCTGCTGCAGGCAGGAACACTGCTCCTGCAAACCTTGTCTCCTGAGGTCAGTGGTGCCACCAGACCTGAAATTCACCCAGGAGTGTCTGAGTGCTCCCAGTGAAACCAGTCAGCTCACCCGTCTGCCTCCCAGACATGATGAGGAGACAGGGCCCACTCTGAACACACATTATGTGTGACACCATGCTGACCATCAGTCCTAGAGCTGCAAAGAGCTGCTCAGTGATTGTGAGGCTTTCCAGGGAACTGCTAGTACAATCTTCCCCTGTTCCTAAGCTGCCTCCTACCTATCAGCTACTGGCCATGGTCAGAGATGGAGTTTCTGGACCTTGGATTATATGATGGGGCTCTGTACAATCCTTTCAGACCATCACCCCTGCTCTTTGTGGTGATATTCATTGTGCACTCATCTCACTCAGTTGCCAAAATGGGGTCATGGTTGTGATGGCAATCAGCATTCACTGTGTGCCACTGGCACACATAAAGGAGAGAGCTCACAGAAGTTCTTCAGGATATCATAATTCCTACCTCCATCTCTCAGCAGCTCTGAGCCATATCCCTCAAAATGACATCACTCTTGAAAACATTCCTGCGCTTGTGTGTGTGATGTTACTTCTTATATTTCTCTATCTATAAACAAACTCATTTTCTTTTGTGGGATTTGTGGCTTAGTCAGATTAAAAGAATCTTTCTCCTTCAGGCTTTTTCTGCTTTCTATTTTGTGATGAACTTTTTGAACCTGACCAGTGAACCAAATCCCCTTGCCCTGAACAAAGTGATCAGCACCATTGAGAGCTTCTGTGCCCGGCCTTGGCAAGAGGTGAGCCATGCTTGTTGCAGTACACTGGGGCTGCTGATAATTTCCTGTGGGATAAATGGCTGGGATTAATTTCCAGAGCAAGATGGGGAAGATCCCGCCAGCACCTGCAGTGGATGCTCAGGCACAAGCTGGAGCAGTGGGAAGGTGTGTTTTACGGTCTGGTGATTGCCTCCTTCCCTAGGTGAAGACAGCATATCACCACATCAAAGAAAAGTACCTGAGTGAATATTGCTTCTCTGGAGCCTACATCCTCTCTCTCCTGGAAAATGGCTATGAGTTCACTGAAGACAACTGGCAAATGATCCACTTCCTTGGAAAGGTGTGTTTGGTGGTGGGGAGGGCTCTACCCCAGCAGTTCTCTGCAGCCTCTGCCACACAGCGTGGCCCTTGATCCCAAGGGGTGCCACTGCTCAGGCAATGCCCTAGGCATTCTCCCAGCACTGATTCTGCTTTTCTGTTTCAGATTGGCAGCAGTGATGCAGGTTGGACCCTGGGCTACATGCTGAACCTGACCAACATGATCCCTGCAGAGGAGCCAGCCGGGCCCCCTCTCTCCCACGGCAGCTACGTGGGGCTGATGGTGCTGTGCTCCCTCGTGCTGGTGTCTGTGCTCCTGTTTGCCTGGCTTCTCTTCCACAAGCCCAAGTGCCTGCAGAAGGGGATTGTCTAGGAAGAACCTGAAGGCGAGAGGAGCCATGTCATCCTGGCTGCTCAGGGCTAGGAGACCCCAGCAGAGCAGGCTGTACAGCAGAGTCCCTCTCACTGAAGCTTCTGACTGTACAACAAGGGCATTTATTTCTTCTGAATCACACTTGCACTGACAGATGTTGGGACATCAGGCTCGCCACCTTCTCTGCCAAGGACAGACAAGCTCGTGTCCCCTCCTTGAGTGGGTCGTACTTTCATTCAAGGAAACTTTGCTGCTTGTTGGTTTCTGCCTTGTGCACAGCATTATAAAGAGAAAAGTGGCAACAATCTTTGGGAGCCAGTGCTCCTGCAAGGGTTATCTCAGGGTCACACATCCCACCGAGCTCTTGGGAGCTGTCACATCCAGGGTGATCCTGCTCCTTCTCCGCTGAAGCTGTTCCAAGAGCCCTTTCTGCACCAGCACGCCTCTGCTGCCCTCCCTGGCCCTGAGCTCTAGCAGCCTACAGCTGGGTACAGCTCTTGCACCTGGCTGGCCCCTGGAGGTGGGTCAGGCTCCCAAATGCCACTCTGGGAAAAGAAGGGATGAGGATGAAGAAACTGAGCATGCTTGTGGTCATCAGCCCTTAGCTGGGCTCTGTCTGCTGTCAGCTCCTTTTGCAGGTGGCGAAATGCCTTTTCCCCACGTCTTCCTGATGATGTTGCTGGACCAAAGCTGGCTCACTGTTGCACTGAGCCATTCCCGTGTCCCTAAGGTACATCAAGCCACAAGTTCCCAACCAGGCATTGCTGCTTTTGGTAGGAAGAGCTTGTACTGGCCCAGGTTCCTTGGCCAGTAGTGATTGTCTGTGCCTGCAGGGACTCTGGTGTGATCAGTGTGCCCTCAGGTATCACCCACTAAAGCAATCCAGGGTCACTGTGCTGATAACACAGCAGCCTCCAATCTAGGGAAAGTGTTTATTAGTTAATGTTCCTGTAGGCAGCTGGCAGTAGTTAACCAGCATGAGAATGCACGGATTGAACCACTCTTTCCACCAGCAAAATTAGTGAAGATTTGCCTTTCCTTTCCTCATAGCACAGGCTTATCCTATGACCACAAGACCCAGGGCTTGTGAGTGCACATACTGCAGCCCATACAACCAGGACGATGCCACTGATTGAGTCTATGAATCACTTTCTTCCATTTTTCCATTTCTTGGTCCAAAAAAAAAAAAGAGAGGTAAGTCAGAAATCCATTTTTTAAAAAACACTCAGAAACCACTGGTGCCTGTCTACCTCCCACAAAATCTCAGAAATCTCTTCTCCTAATGACCTGTAAATGTGGAGGCAAAAAGAAAGCAGATATTGTAGAGAGGAAGGCATAGCAAATACTCACCTCCTTCCCCAAGCAGAGGTGCAGGCAGTGTGGAGCACGTCAGGATGTGCAACCCCAACAATGCCTTCTCCTTCAGGCAAGCACAGACACAGAGCTCTCCCAGTGTGTCCCTCGGCATAGTCCAGGATGGAAAATGTCACCCAGTTATTTCTACTTCATGCCTGGAAGTAGAAGCCCTAATATATTGAAGGACCCACAGGTAAGGGGAAAATCTACCCTGTCCTAAGGTCTTTGGACAGATCATTGTTCTTCCAAAAACCTGTGTCTTATTTTTGCTCTGAATTAGGTGGCTTCAGCTTCTGTTGGATCTTGTTCTGCCCATTTCCAAAAGACTGAGTAACTCTGCTATTAAAATCCCTTTTTCTTCAGTGGTGCTTGCAAGTTGTCATTATATTATATTAAAGTAGACTGGTTTTCAATCTGTAAAGTGGTCTCAGCTGACCTCACTTGCAGCTCTTGACTCCACTTCTTTTAGAAGTTGTACATATTTCTGAAACTTGGACACCAAAGTTTTCAGCAGGTAGCTGAGTCACTAATAGTGTACATATCTGGTTTTCATCTATGCCTTATGTTATCCATTCATATATCTCTGGTCCAGGTCTGTTCACTTAACAGAAAGTTTTTAGGCTTTTGAGTCCAGCTGGACTGTTGCAACTTGGTCTTTTTTCCCAGCCATGGCATTTCAAAACAGCCTCTGTCTCACATCCTACATCACTGTCTCTCAAAATGAGCCATTTTTCCTTCTGTGTGGCTCCACTGAAATACATATTATTCAAAGAATATTGCCCCAAGCAGATTATCCAGTTCAATCTGCAAATGCCCTTTCACCAGCAGTGAGTCCGCTGACCAGTTTCTGTTTATCTGCAGATACACTGCGATGTGGGAATTCAGCTAGGGATGCAGCTCTCCTTCCGTTGTTTGCAGCAAAGACAGGTAGATAAGAGATAAGCAGCAGGTTTTGGCTGGAAGGCATGCAGGAGAAATGTGTGATCAGAGCTGCTTCTGGTGCCCAGACAGCCTCACATGCAGCACAGCCCATCACATGCCACCCTCCTTGCATACGGAGCCCGGCGCCCGTGTAGCAGAGCAGAGCGCTGGAGAAGCTCCCAGGTGAGCTGGCGCATCCGTCCTCCCCGTGAACAGCACGGAAACCTGCAGAGGGGCAGGTCCTCCCCTGAGACCTCCTTGGGGATCTGGCAGCTGCTCAGCTGTGTCCGTGATGAGAACTGGCAGATCCGTTAGGACATGTCAGAAATTGATGCAAAAACTTCATGTGGAAGTTGGTGTGGAAAGAAAGGTTGTTCCAGTCTGCTCTTCTTGTCCTTGCTAGGGATTTATGTCAAAAGAAAATGTCAAATATCTGGGAGAAGAGCTTTTACAATGTTTTGTATCTTCATTGCAAGTCCCATAGTATTAATACTGTTAGCTCCTGATTCTGGAGCCAGGTGAGCAGTGACATCTTCACTTGCTCCTGCTGTATTAATTATCTCACTTTTTGGTTTGAGTTTTGGGGTTTTTTAAGCTTTAAATATGACTTGAGTGCAACCAAAAGGGCCCGAACCAAGATAAATGCAAAATATGTTACAATATTTTTAAACCTTATAAATTTTAGACCCCATTCATAAATCAATCTCTCCAGGATAAGAACTTCTGAGGTGACAACATGCCAGTTGAGCAGCCTGAGGCTTCAGGAATCAGTTGACTGAAGGCATCCTGTCATTGCATGTCACTGCCTGGTAGTGAACATTCACAGAGTGGCCTACAATTGTTTTCTCTACATTTCTCCTGTTATTGCAGGACTTTTTTCATGGAGACTACTCAAAATCTTTGGTCAAAGAACTCAAGTTTATGAACATTCATTTCTTTGCTTCTGTGTTGCATCTGATCCAGCTGAATTCAACTCAAATGTGTGTTCCAGAGCCACCCAACATGTACATGAAGACCATTAATGATAGTGGAGGGACTTTCCAAATATGCCAGTATTAATGTATCATTTCTCTTGTTAACACAGTTGATCTGCCTCACTGGTAATTATCTGTGCCTTATTTCTAATTTGATAGCTTCTGGCTTTAATTTCTAGACACTTCCTGCTTTACCATTTTGATTTTCTTGGGTAAAGCATCTTTTAACATCACATGTTCCTGTCTATCACATATTTACTCACTATTCAGCTCTGCTGTGCTGCCAAGACTCCAGACCTTAGTCTCTCCTGAAGAGAGAGCTCTCCTGGGCTCCCAGGAAGCTCTGAGATTGCTGCAGCAAGGTGGGATGAGTGTCTCTGGTTTGGGTTCAGATGTTGGTTGGTCCATTTTTGGGGAGGTTCCTTGCAGAGGGTGTTGATAGCTTTGCAGAGTGCAAGAGCAGCCTGGTCTCTCTGGGACTGATGACCTCTGTGAGCTCTGCCATGCTCAGCTGAGTGTCAAATGTGGGGCAAAGCTATTGGAACTTGTCAGAAGAGAGAGCCTGGGTACCTGCAGCACCCTCACCTCTTGCAGGAAAACTGCTCCCCACCACAGGCTCTAAGTACCTTGGATAAACCTGCCTCTCCTCTGTGCCCAGGCTACCGCAGATTTCTCCAGCCCTACAGCAAAGCACAGTGGGGCCTCCACTTGGAAGAAAGCTCTCAGAAGTGGAGCCATCACCTCTGCACTGGAAGGCTGATTTGAAGTGTTGGCACTGGCCAGGGCTTTCCAGTTTCTCCCGGAGCAGTTCTGGCGGATGTGTGCCCCTTCACTCTCCACCCCACTTCTTCCCATGCTCTGTGCCAGGCAGGATGTGCAGGCTCTGCAGGGCTGCCAGCTTTGTCACAGGCTCACAGCCTGTTCAGTAGGGACTGGGCAGAGCACACTGAGGACAGCAGTCCCTGCCACCCAGGCCATGTGTTTTCTTTCCGTGGCCCAACCCTGAAGAAATGGATCTTTGTTTTGATGCACACACAAGCCTCTGTATGCTTATCATAATAAAGACTTCTGAACTCATGCCAGAAAAGTTTTCATGCTGTTTTCCAGAAGATGGGAGTTTGCCAGTAGTGGAATGGAGCTTCTGGCACTAAACATGGAAAAGTCCTGCGATGTGATTTCCTCTCTTGCCAGTTCCCCGATGCTCTCCTAGGTCAGCTCTGAAGATCCCAGTGGATGGGTAGCATCCCCTCCTGGTAGAGAAATGCACTGTGGTCTTTCCCAGGCTCTGGGCACCTCACACAGGTTGCCTCACTCCTGGGAAGGCTGCTACTGCCCAAACCACATCTTTCTCTGCCTTAGCTTCATCCTGACCTCCTCAAAGCAGTTTGTTCTCCCAAGAACTGCAAACTGGACAGAAGCAGTCCTCTGTTCTCATTTTCCCTCTCCCTCCCCCAGGCAGCCCCACTGGCATCATGCTGGCACTGCAGCCCACCTTTCCACCCCCCTAACAGGTGAAGGACAGTGGGCCCGTGCCCCTTGCTCACAGGGCTGCGTGTCTCCACGTGCAGCCATAGCCACAGCTCTGCCAAGGCAAACAATGCTTGTCACAGTTGTTATTTTTCTTTCAGCAAGAACTCCCCAGTTTGCTCATTCTTATGGCTATTAGCTTGAAGTTTCCTCAAATTTTCCAATCTTCCTCTGTTAACAATATGGCCAAAACTAAAGTGAACCCATCAGATGCAGTCTTTCTATGGTCAGTTCCAGCAGAATCAGCTCCTTGCTGCCTGTGCCCATCAGCAATGCAACGGTGGGGAGACAGGGCTTGCATTCACATTCCTCTCACTCTCACCACAGTCGCACAGACCTTTCCTTCTCCCCTTCTTTCTCCCACTGCCTCAAGGTCTCTCCATTTTTGAACATCTGGGTGGGGGGTGGGGGAGTGTATGATCCATCCCAGATGTATTAGCCGTGTTTTCCAAATTAAGTTTTTATTTACTTCCTTCGCTGTTTCTAAGTCCTAACATCTTCTATTGTTTGTTTCTGCTTTCATCAGTGTTTTCAAACATGTCCAAATTTATTATTGTCATTTTCCTAGAATGTGTAAAGGCCATGCTAGGTCAGATCAAACAGGCAAAGCATTGGCACTCGTCTCCAGCTGTGTGGTGAGCGAGGATTTAGAGGGATAGCTAGGGAAACAGCATAATCTTTTTCTTCTACACATCAGGGGCTTAGGAAATTTGTGATCAAATGATTACTTCAAGATCTGATAACTCTGACTCTGTTTTCTATGAATTCATTTTATCCTCTTTTGCACTCATTAACTTCCAGCTTTGATGATGTAATTTCAGGGTGTCTTTTGTGCAAAACTCTTTCCTTTTGTATGCTTTAAAACTGCTGCCTGATGACAGGCTGCCTCCATCCCTGTGCTATGGATAACACTGACTAACTCTCCAGACCTAGTAGTGTGTGAGATGCACTTTCCACCCACGTGACATTTTGCCCATGGCTCCTTTTTAGGCTCTAATGCTCTGGCATTTCTTTTTTTACTGTTGTTTCTCATATCAGTGCTGCTTGCCTCCATAGGAAAGTGAGAGTTTTCCTCACGTGTCCCTTGGCAGCACTGCAGTTCCAACTCTGCCACTACTGTCCCAGGCTACCGAAAGCAGCCTAGGAAGGGAAAGGGGAGGGTGAAACTGGACAAACATGGGGCTTGCACTATTTTACTCTAGCCCTGCCTAGCACTCTCTGGCTGCCAAGTAACACTGGGTAGTGCTGGAAACCTGCCCATGACTCTTTCACATAGCCTTCATTGCTGAAGCCTGGGGAAAGAGCAGCTCCACGGGAACCCAGCAGCCCTGGGAGTAGGGATGTGAAGGAGGTGAAGGCATTTCCCACTGCTGTTGTGGGCTGCCAGCTTTGCAAAATACCACCAGACACATCTTGCTGTAGAGATGACAACTGTCCTACCATACCCATGCTCTCCACACCACAGCTTCAGCTACTTTGCCTTGGTTTCTGGCATGTGCTGGGAGAAGCAATCACCTCCAGCACTGACACTTAGATGGGTGCAATGCCATTCCTGCTCCTGAACGTGTGCTGCTTTCATACTGGCTGACAAGCAGGGATGGGGGCAGAAGGGGCTTACCTAGCAGAAAGTATTAATATGGTTTCTGCTATCTCTATGTATGTGTAATATTTTTATTTTTCTTTTCATGTCTTCAAAAGGGTATTTTTTAAAAAACAGGGGTTAAGAGGGAGCTGTGCAGGTGGGGCAGAAGACCAAGAAGGCAGAGGATCAAGGAGAGAAATGACCACTATGATGGTGCTGGGGCAGAAGAATGTTGGATATGGGAAAGTCTGAGTAAGCCAAGTCATAAGCAGGCAATCCATGTGCCTTGACCACCAGCCTGTACTGTTTGCATCAGAGGCCATCAACAGCAGCTAGAGGCTATAAACAGGGACTCCTTGGTTTGACCAATGCCCTTCCTGAAAAACTGAGGTAGAAAGACAGCAGTCCAAGCAGATGTGGAGAATGGGTAGGAAAGCACTGGGAAAGAAGCAAGCCTTGACATGGAAATTAGAGCAATGCAGCACAGATCCACCTCAAAGCTGAAGGGAAAGCAAATGTTTGGCATGGCACTGAGTATCCCAGGCAGCCCATTACTGGAGCTCCTCTCTAGCATGGCCCAGATATAGCAGAATAGCACGGTCATGCTACCAAAGGGGGCCTTTCTCTTGGCCTTTCCAGCCGTGATGGTAAATTTTTCAGCTGTTTGTGCTCATGTTTGGTCTCTGTGTCGGGGTTGTCCTAGTAAATACCTCTGTCAGAGTCACTAGGCTGCTGGAGTTTTAGCCTTGTGGGGCAGAGAGCAGGGACCATGAGGTGTCTGCTGCCCACTGGGATAAGCATGGCAGAGTGTTGGAGAGGAACCAGATTCCCCTACACCCAGAGACAGTTTGTAATCCTTTGTTGCAGACAGGAGGACATTTTCATTTGCCTATATGCAGTTAAGCAATGTCGTCCTGCCCAGCGCCTGTCAGAGCTCTTTCTCATGCCCCCTCCCGGAGCAAGGCGGGGTGATAGCAGACTGTTCGAGCGGAGCTCTCCGTGATGGTTCCTGCTCAGCAGACGACTCCTGCATCACATCGCACTCTGCTCTTCCCTCCCCCTGCACCGTCCCAGCTCAGCAGTTCGGGCAGCCAGCTGTGGCAAGGGCCATGCAGTCCCTGCCGCCTCTGTTTGTCCCGGGAGCAATGGGATCGCTGGGTGAGCCGGGCCGGGCAGAGGGGCCGACTGACCCGCGGCGGTGCCTGCTCTGTTTCCCCAGGAGATGGGGCAGGAGAGGAGGCGCGGAGCCGGGGCCGGGCTGCGGGGAGGAGCGGAGGGAGCTGCCCGCGCCGGGCAGGGCTGCGGGGATCGTGCGGGCAGCGAGGCCGCCCGGCGCTACCCCCATCCCCATCCCCTGGGCTCCTGCCCCACGGGAGGTGACGGGCAGAGCAGAGCCCCCCGCCCGTCGGCCCCCTCTCCTTTCCTCTCCTTTCCCCGCCCGCCGCTCCCCGAGCGCTTGGCAGCCCCGACGCCCTCCGCAGCCAGTTTTCCAGCCCTGCGCTTCTTCTGCGGTGACAGCCAGTGGCTGCGGGGCCCTGTTTGCTGTCCAGTTAATAAGTGAGCTGGAGCGGGGGGAAACTTCTCCGGCGGAGGAGAGCGGGCTCGCCGGGGGCCGGCCGGGCGGGCGGGGGGAGCATTCCTGCGCCGCGGGGCCCCGGCGCGCCCCGCTCCCGCCGCCCCCCGCCCGCAGGTGCAGGGGGCTGGCACT